ACTTTTAGGCTGTCCCAGCATGATGTTTCTGTATATAGTTACCTTGGCGAGCTTCATACAGGTCAACGTGAAATCCTCGTTTAGCGAGAAAAATGGCGCATAATGATCCCACCTAATTATTGTAAGGCAATGAAAAATCAAAAGTGTGCTCTTAGGCTCATAAAGTTTAAATTCCGTCAATTATACTAATAAATATGTATACCAAATGAAGCTCTGGAATAATTTCCTATCTCATGTCGCAATGACCAGTTTTCGACCCATTATGCAAAGTACAACTATTTGATTCAATTTTGCAAATATTAACAAGCTTCTACCAGTCTCTCTTTAAATTTAAGACAAAACTTACCGGGGACCTTTCTACGCTTAATTACGTAACTTAATTCGATCAGACGTAAGTTCTTTAAAAAATATTTGATTCGATTGATGTCCATACATTTTCTGAAAAAGCCAATAAACTGCAAGAGATATTCTAAGAAATCTAGAAAATATTCCCAAGAATACAAATAAAAGAGTCAAATTACCAAACCACCTCCAACGACAATAACTTTTGTTTGTGTAACTTTTTCGTCCCTAACTGAATCCGCCGCCATCTTACTCGTCTCCAGGGCTACTTGGCAAACTCGGTCTTAAGATTACAAAATTTGAAGAAATTGGTAGGTACTTCATGCTTTTGTAGAAGACAAGGTTGTATGTTTTTGTCGTCGTCAATTCAATATGATTGCCTCATACTTTCAATACTTTTTAACACTTTCATTACTAGGGGTGTCGGCTTACTTGAGGTGGTACAAATTTCTTTTTTCCCCCAGCCTTCCGCTGTTATAAGAATCAAAGATAGCAGCTACGATTTTCACCCAGAAAATTCTTAGCACTTGCTCGCCAACATTGCGCCTGCACCGCAGGCTAGAGGTACTTGGCAGAATGGGATAGCAAAGGGACGGGACAGCTTAGAGACGAGATGCGGGACAGTTTAGGGACGAGATGCGGGACAGTTTAGGGACGAGATGCACTTATTTTCAGCCATTCAGACACGCGTAATTTTTTTCCTGTATATTATAATACAGATTATGTTCTTTTGCTAGAGTACAGAGTCAGTTAAACTTTCAATGAACACCTTTGATCTTTTAGCGTTAATGCATACCTGCAGGTTGCGTGAGCATACAAATGGATATACTGTTTCGCTGCATTAATTAGGTAACTACCGAGTCGTTGGCTGATTTACAGAGTAAATAAAACTCTAAGCTGTGAAAAAGAGTATCACTAATCAATCTGTATTAGCATAGTACATATAGGGTAATTCTACAGAACAAGCGCAATTTATTTTTTTTTGTGTTTTCTACGCGAGCGGACGCACGCGCAATGGAAATGCAGAGGGTGGGTTATAAGTAAGACAAGGACCAAGGCTAGCCTTTCAGCTTGCTTCGTGCACGTGTCCACTCGCCAGGAAAACGAAAATAAAAAAAGACGCCTGTTCTTTATAGTTTAAATCATTGCGAATCACAAAGGTCCTTCAATAGGATTTCTGTCTGTACGGCCCTAGTTTCAACAGCTGCATTGTAATGTTTTCTTTTCTTTTGAGCTTATTGGCTGGCTCCAAGTCTTTAAAATCACCACGAGTCCAGCTAACTCAGTTAATAATCTCATTACGAGAAAAGCGCGCTCCATCTAATGGTTACGGCAAAGAGTGGCGCAGTGGTACTTGCAAAAACGTTTCCTGATATCCCAATATTGTGTAAGAAACGCAAACGGCGATTCGTTCGGGTTTTCTTTTCCTGGAGCAGTAAGACTTAAGGAGAGAAGGTAAAGGTGAAAAAGGGTCATGTCATCGAGGTGAAGTGTTTGTGTGCACGGAGGACAGCTGCGTGTCCACCAGGATAAACAGGAATAAACTAGAGATCCTGGTATTCCTTTACCTCGTCCGTTTTGACTTCAGCTCTAAAGGCTGTAATCGGGCTACATATACATGAACACTCTCTCGTTTTAATTAACTTGTTAGCAAAGATTCCACACAACCACCATCGAACAGGCGATAATTACTGTTCTTAAACGTTGAACTTGGTTTCGCAGAGTTTCCCACTTGCGTTATTACTTGAGCTTAAAAAAATCGCTACACATTACGGTACGATACCAAATTCCGTGTGGGAATCAAGGTTTACTCACGTTCTACAGCGATTCTTAGGCACAAATTTCTCACTAAACGTGGGTTTATTCGACGGTCTACGCACTTATCTGCCTGAAAGTACCTGATCAGATACATCACTTGACGCACGTACTAAGTTTGATTATTCCGTGGAGGAACATTCCTGCTACATTCTTCGAAAGAAGAAAGATCAACTCGCTTGGTAAATAATCAAACATATGATACAAAAAAAGAAGTCAATTTTGAGCATAGAAACGCTTCACGACAGTGGAAATTATTTTACAACAAAATGCCGAAGCCGAAGTTCGTCTACTGGCATAGTACTGGATGGCTAACCTGTTTCCGAACTTTCGCGGTTTATTATTTATATCACAAGTCACGTGATACTACACGCGAAAAGGTGAGAAAACATGGCGGCAAAAGTTGTGCAAGACGAGAAATCTACGAAGAAAGTTGTTGTTGTAGGAGGTGGATTGGTAAGGATCTCTCGAAGTGTTCTTGGAGTGTTTTGATGGCAAGTGGAGATCTAGTGGAAATTGTGCTCTGTTGAATTTGGTTTTGGTGCAGCCTGTAACTCAATCAATGCATGCTTTCATGGGTAGTGCGTCTTTCACGCGTTTGAATTAGGTAATCTGAACACATTGCAGGTTTCATTCGCCTTTCTTTCGCGTAGAGCATAAAAATGATGAGGTAAATGAGCTAAGAGAAAAATGGTTACGATTTCTTTAAATCGATGGAAATAACTTACGCATAGACAAAAAAGCGCTTTGTGTATAAATATGCGTTATTGACTGAGCGTAGTATCTATGCGGCCTGGGACGTTAATTATGGCTTGGGCCTTATTATAAGATAAAGAACGAGGCCGATATCTAGAAGCATTTATCAAACATGCTTGGTTAGTGAAGGATTTACTGAATGGCGAAAAGATCACTTCAAAAAAAAATTTACCAAATAAATTCTCCAAACTCATAGCGGTTTTCTTTGAAATGTTTTGACAGTGCAAAGACGTTTTGAGTCAGTATGTTCCAAAACTGCTGGAAAACTTTCCTCTCTGTTAACTTCAGAAAGTTGCCTAGGAGTCATGATCATAGAATGTGAACTAGCTACAAGCACTGTTTAAGTTTTGAGTGTTCAAAGCAAGCAATGTCAATCAAGCTTAATAATGGATTCACTTGCGGGGGAGGGGGGAGGAACTTGGGTCAGTTTTTACCGGGTATGTGTTGCTCGTCTCTCAGAACCCCTACCCCTACCCTGACCCCATTGTAGTCTTTTCTGTCATCAATAATATACTCCATCGTAGTCACTTTTTGAGCAAGTGCAATTTCCACAATCTCTACCTATTCACTTGGTCATTTAAGCTTGTCAGCATGTGAAGCCCACGGTATGATGAATATTTACTAATGTTTGATCACATAGGAGCATTTGTTTTTTTTTTTTTAATTGTGAAAGTTAAATCTTGCAGGCAGGTGCCTTGATTGCAGTGTACCTTGCAAAACGTGGGTTTAAAGTAGATGTGTTTGAAGCTCGCAAAGGTGATTTTCAAGTTAGTTTTGATTCTGTAGGTTCAGTATTGGAAGGAAGGGGGAGCAGACGTGTGCTTAGTGTGTCACTCTCTTTTGAACCCTTTCAACCCCAAGATCTCACCAGTAATTCTCCAAAGTGCCTGTTATACAATTCTTATGACTTGAGTTTGGAGAATTTGGTATTGGAATTTGGAAGAATTTTTTTCTTTATTCTCATTACTTGTCAGCTTGATATTGTTTTGATGATGTAAGGAGAGTTTATATGTGGTCACTCCTGGGAGTGACAGGGTTTAGAATTAGGGTCAGGAATTATCATGATTCAAAATGTTGAAAACTAAAACTACACTTCCAACTTGAGACTTGGAAATCATATCCTGGTGAGTGGGATGTACCATTGAAGGCTTAGTAAGGGCGTCCACTCACTTTTCAGTTTTGTATGAATTGATTTATTCCAAAAACAGAAACACAAGGCTGGGAAGACAACAATCTTAGTCCCCTTCTATGATATGCTTTGCAATAAACTCAGTGGCTAAGCAAAGCCATTTTTGCAAAATAAAAAAATACCAATATGAATAATCCAGCTAGAGATAAATTCTGTAAAGTGGATTAAAAACAGCATGCTCTGGAATATTCAGGATTGTCAAAAGAAGTTGAAAAGCAGAGAAAATCACTGCAACATACTTTTCCTTGAGTTATATAATGGGGTGCCTCTCCTTTGATTTAGAACTAAACATCTTGTTTCACAGATTTTTAAAGATATGTCTTTTGGATGTTTAGATCCTCGCAAGGAGGTGGCCCAAAGAGGTAGAAGTGTCAATCTTGCACTTTCTGTCAGAGGAATTGAATCATTACGAGCTGTGGGAGCAGAAGGCCTGGTAATACTGAAGTATTGAAGACAGAGAATAACACATTTATGATAATGAGCTACCAATAAGTTCCTAAAAAAAAACATTTTCTCAAGCATAATTGCCACAGTGGAACTCTAAATAATACCAATTATGAAACATTTGCCACTAGCATAGAACAGTGGCAAATCTGAGTTCTCTGAAAGGACAAATGTAGTTTCTCCCCTGTAGGATCACCCCTCAATCAGACTTTAAGGTTCTGAGGGAAAAAAAAAGAAGTGATCACAAGCTTAAGAAGCTTGAAGTGTTTACCTTACAATTAGCTCTTGATTATTGAAAAATTCTCCCTAGTCAGTACTACAGGAGTTTCTGTAGAACAGAATGGAGAATATGTATACTGATGTAAGGGTTTAAAGGATTCAACTGATAGAATCAGTATACAACATTGAAATGGTAGGAAATGAGTGATGTTTAAAGCATTGCGAATAACTGTAATTCTTTCTTAAATTTTTACATTCTTCATTCTCTAGGTGATGGCACTTGGCATCCCGATGCATGCCCGTATGATTCATTCTCATAGTGGAAACACAACACCCATTCCTTATGGAAAGAAAGGACAGGTTAGAACAGAAGTTTATGTGTGTTTAACCCTTTGACACTGAAGAGTGACTAGCATCTAGTTTCTCCTTAGAATGTCATCCCTGAACCACACACTAAGGTAAGGAGAATAAAGGAAATGATCACCAAGTTGAGAAGCTCTTTATTATTAAACAAATTCTCCTTGTCAGCACCAGAAGAAAATGTAGATAACAGTATGAAGAATATGCCAGTGGCAGATCCAGACCTTGAGCTAAGGGAGGGAAGTACCTGGTTTTTTGTTGCTTCAGCCTTGCCGGCTTTTCTTCCTTCTACAATTCTTTTTTCTTTTACCCAAAATAAGGGTGGGGCTGAGGCCCCTCGGGCCCCTTCCTTAGATTCACCACTGTATGCATACTGATTTTGGGGTATGAAGGGTGAAAGATATTCTCAACATCCATGTGTATTGTTTCTTGAGCTCACTGATTATCAATTATAGATAGAACACACTTTTTTTTATCTATTCAGCATCTATTATCAGTTGAAAGGCAGAAGCTGAACAATGATCTCCTCACAGGTAAGAAAGTTTGGATCAGAGTGCACATACCCCAGAACAGTCTGGAAAAAGTGAATACTAATGTTTTGGTGCAAGGCATGAATGAGGAAAAACCTTAAAGACGAAAAAAGTTTTGTTGATTCTGTCTTCTTAATTCACTGATTTCCTATAACTGGTACTGTTGGTAAAGTACTCTTTCTGGCCTGTGTTGGTTCAGTTGCAGAAACTTACCCAGACGTTCGCATACACTTTGAGCACAAACTTATTGCTGCTGATATTGAGGGAGGCCATCTTACCTTCAAGTGGTAGGAGTCACATTTGATACATTTGCTTGTGTGTCTCAAACAGTTAAAAGATATTGCTGGAATGACTGAATGACCATCTGGATGATTTGTTTACAGCAAAGGAAATGATGATGAAAAGTTAGAAGTTGATGCTGACATTATTTTGGGCTGTGATGGAGCATACTCTGCATTAAGAAGAGAGCTCATGAGAAGACCAAGGTGAGGGATGCAAGGCATTCTTTAGTGCAAATTTCAATTGTGTGTTGCTATAAATCTGGGTAGATGTACAGGGATACAACAATGAGAATAGCAAATGGCAAAATTTGAGGGCCTGTGTGAACTGAACTTTTAGAGAAGGACGAGATGGTAGTGTGAGTGGTTTTAACCCTTTGATCCGGGAGAGTGATTAGCATCTAATTTCTCCTTGCTTTATCACCCCTGAATCACTCATTAAAGGCATGAGAATACAGGAAATGATCACCAACTTAAGAAGCTTATGATTGTTAAACAAATTCTCTTTGTCAACACCTTAGGAAAGGTATGGAACACAGTATGGAGAATATACATACTGATGTTAAGGTGTAAGGATTAAGAGATGACATAAATTGAGGGAAGTATTAGAAATAGGGATAGATTCTTGTAAGAAATGTGAAAAAAAAAATTTGTTATTTTCTTCTTCATACATAAATGTTTGGATTGAGAGAGTGCTTATGCTTGCTTATCTTTTCTGTCTGGTTTACAGGTTTGATTTCAGTCAAGAATACATTCCTCATGGTTATAAAGAGCTTTGCCTTGCCCCAACCAAGGATGGAGAGGTTTAAGATGTCTTTTTATCATTTACTCCACATTAAATAACAAAGAAAGATGATTGATATATTTAAGACATGCAGGGCTACAAGATGCCAACATTTGGGTTTCACTGATCTTTGTCATCTATGTTCCCTGAAAATTCAATCTTAATGTTGGAGTGGTTATGAAACAATCTCAGTGTATTATTTTTTTTTATTATACAGTTTGCCATGGCAGTGAATTATTTACACATCTGGCCAAGACAGACATTCATGATGATAGCTTTACCAAATCAGGTAGAAAATAAGTTGATGATTTGGGGTTACTCAATGTCAGATAATCCATCTGATGATAGTTTAACAGTACCCAATAATACTCCTTATTATACATTCAACTCACTATCTCTTTTCTGATTGGCTGAGAGCTCACGGTAAATTTTGAAATCAGCACCTGGGACCTCGTCATCTAGCTACAGATTATACAATAATCATGTTGAGGACATTCAAGGTCACGAGTAATCATGTCATGCATGACTGCAGTGCATTATTTCTAAGGGTAATAATGTCAAGTTCTTGCTTTGGGTTGCTTGCTGATCTGTATATTTTTATTTGTTCATAAATACATTGACAGAATAATCAAGGTCTCAGTAAGGGTTATTGGTCTTCGGTTTTGGCTGATAACCCTTACCTCAACCTTGGTTATTCTGGATATCACAAAAACCTCAACTGATAATTGTTTATTAACTGAGATAGGCCTTGCAATTTAAGAGAAAGGTTTCTTGTCTTAGATCACATCACAAGACTTGGCTTGGGCTTGAACCCAGACGCTATGTGATCTGGTGTTTAGCAAATTACCCTTTTGGCCACTAATTGTCATTGAGCAAAGAAGAAAATGATACTGATGATAAATCTGCCTAAAACTGCTCCATTGGTCATATAACGATCAGAAGTAGCTTTATATTCAGGGTGTCAAAGAGTATTTTTTCTAGATGGTTATCAATGATTTATAATATATATGATTTGTTTTCTATTTAATGGTAAGTAATCATTTTTCCTAAAGGATAAATCCTTCACCTGCACATTGTTCTTACCATTTGACCAATTTGACAAGTTGAAAACAAAGGTAACATTTTCTTATTGAGTAAAGTGAATTTTAATTTAGACAAATGATTCTTACTGTGTTTTGTGGTTTTTCTGTTTTGCATCAAAATACGTTAAAAGGATAATATGATGCGCCAAACTCAATTATTTTTTATAATGAAACTGTGGTGCTGTGCTGGAGGGAGAGTACAACAAGATAATTTGGTTTTATTAACTGAGTTGATAATATGAATTGGCCACCATAAAGACTTTGACACGTTATGGGTGTTAGCCCTTCATTAGAGCAAATGATAATGAAGACGAAGACTAACATGAGCTTTTAAACTCTTAATGGTAGTCAATTTACGTTATCAACTGATTTTATGAAATCAGACTTGAAATATTATCTATTGATCTTTCCATTTGGTGTTTTTAGGATGATGTCCTGACCTTTTTTAATGCAGAGTTCCCAGATTTCCTGAACCTCATGGGAGAGTAAGTTTTTGACCCTTTCACTCCCAAGATCTCATTAGTAATTCTCCTTAATGTCTGCCATACAGTTCATATGATGTTAGTTTGGAGAATTTGGGATCAGATCAACTTAATCCCCTCATCGATATTTTTCTTTGCCATGGACTAGCATCCCATCCAGGGGGGAGAAGTGATACTCCTAGTCACTCCACGCTAGTTAGAAACCAGGATAAGCTTGGCTGGGTGGGCCATTAGGCTCCCAAGTACAGACTTAACTCTTTTACTAATTAACTATTGCCTATGTATCTCATGTAAGTTCGTGTATTTCCAAGTTATAGTACATGTAAGTATGTCAAAGTCCTTTTTTTTTTTCTTCGATACCTTCGTAAGAAAAGTTTTGGGTTGACAAGGACAGTCTTTTTTAACCAGAAGCTAGTGATCTTCTATGGTTAATTTATGGAGATAAGAATTTACTTTTCAAGTTTATGTGTATCTGTACTTTTTATTTTGCCAGAGAAAAACTGTTGGAAGAATTTTTCAGAAATCCGACCGGTCCTATGGTATCCATTAAGGTAAAATTTAAATGTTCCTCTTTTATTTAGTTGCATTATGCCTAGTATTAAAGAAGTCCTCCTAGATGAATCAACTTTTGTAAAATTGAATAACCCCTTTGAAAATTTGGAGCCTGAATGTGGCCTGATGTGACCTGGACAAAAAAATTGTGTAGCTTTCAGCTAACAAGCTGGACAAATGTTATGCTCTTGTTCGGACAATGACCAGCTGAACAAGGCTAACAGGAGTTGGGCAAGAGCAAGGCAAGAGCCAGACAAAGCTAAATACCTCTAAACATTTTTAAGTCCAATATTACATGCTCCTTTGTAAGTCATGTACAAAGTCTACAAATTGAAGCTGGCTCTTGTTACCAATACAATACAGTTAAATATAATTTTCACAAATAAGTTTGGTACACTAACATACATAACAGGTTGAGTAAGTTGATTCCTTTAAAATTAAATGACTTTGTCATTTCTAATTGCTTGCTTTTGTTTGTTTGTTTTTTTCCTTACAATTTTTTCTTTTTATCAGTGTAAGCCCTACCATGTTTCTGACAAACTTGTGATTATTGGTGATG